TCACGAGATAGTAGTGTCGCTGTCATAACACCTTCGCGATTTTGCTCTAATACGCGTTTTGATACATTAGCCAGTAATTGAACATGTCTCTCAGTTCCTTGAATGTGGACCGGAATTTTAGGGTCACTCCATGGACACTCATTGCTTTGTAGATATTGTACTAGATGTTCATGAGGAATATTTAGCGTAAAGGCTGGTTCGGATATATTTGAATAATCATCCATATCTATCATATTAGTATAGTCGGTGCATTCGAAATTTATTTCGGGTGTTTTGTAATCTCTCAATTGCGTCAGGTCTTCCACATTATTACGGTAATATAAGATTTTTCTTATAGCGGAATCTCGTATTTCCTTTTTATTATCAAACAACATTGCTAATGAAATATTTTCCGAGTGAGCATAGTATGCGTTTTCTTTAGCAACATTGTTCACAATTTGACTTAAATTCGAGTCTAAATATTGCGTCCAGCTAATAAATTTATAAAATAATATACTACCATACACCACAGAGTTGTAATATTTAATGTTAAAGTACATTGGAATATATACTTTCATTACGTAGTTTGCCAGAATTTTCAAATTTTTGGATGGCTTATTAGTAGTTACATATAACCAAAGTAACCTACTAACCTTCGTGAGCCAACGGGAATGTGCTATTGGCCCTGGTTTCATGTTAGCTAAGTCTGTCGATACTTCTCCAGAAGCAATGCTTTAGCTATTTTTATTAAATAACTTGAGTCAGTTGTCGATTCAGCAAGACTTATATCAGCCAAATTTTCAAGTGGGATTGTTTCAAAGTCTTTTACCGGCTGGAAGTATATAGGAAAAAATAAATTATATTGAATTTGAACATAGGGTATTAAAAAATAGTAAATATGTTTTAACTCACCGGTATATTTTTGCATATTTCAATTTGTTTGCTTAATATTCCAGTTTTTGTTCGTGGTCCAGTGGTCAATGATTTTTCCAAATAGTTAAATAAGTGGCGAAGTGGAAGTTCGTTAAAGTAGAAAAGACACACAAACCAATGCAGTGGCCTGTTTAACTGAATTTCAAATCGACGTAAAATCCCATTTTTTACGCCTGTATTTGCTGGTTCACCATCGCAACATATGCCTATCAAAGAATCGAGAGCTATTCCTTTATCGGCGAAAAATTTGTTCAATTTGATTACTTTACTTTCCGAATCTTCATTTTCCAATTTTGTGTAACCCAACAATTGGCAATTCGGTTTCTTTAAAATAACTAAATGCGCTTCTTTAATCATTCGTGGGTGAAACTTCTTATCGATTTTTTCCATGGTAATAGAATTATTTTTTCGGCCGTCGAATGAAAATGCTATTAATTCAGAAGAATCATATCGTTTGTGTAGAGCTTGCCTATTTTTCTGCCTCTCACGAACGCTTTTATTTTTATCCATAATGAAAAGATTGCCCCAATCATCCGTTACGCCCAGGTCACGTAGGATTGCTGTCACCACGTCAGAACCAACTCTATCAGAAATTGCAAATCTGTCGCACATTAAGGTATAGCTTGGAGCCTTATATGGACCACGTTTTATATGAGAAGTATTTTGTGAACTTTCCGAACTGCATTTAAAATCAAAACCAACATCTGGAGTATATGTCTCACCTGGAGTAATATTGCTAGTTATTGTAGACGCTGATATTTCATCTTCAATTTTTATAATATATTCTGGTATCGTAGATTTCCTCTCATTATGTTGATCCATCATAAACGCTTGTAAATGTTCTGGGATCAGTCCACAGGAACACAGTAATCTTCGCAAATCGCATTTGCATTTTCCAATATAAAATAATTCTTTCGTGGATTCTACAAACTCCTGAAATGATGCTTGGGTAGACTTGCTTTTATTTGTACTTTTATATTTATCAATCAATCGGTTCAATTTTCTAGCGATACTTCGTTTCTCCATAATTGGAATATCAATTTTTTCCCACGTCTGAATCAATTTCGTTACCACATTTGGAGTATTTTAAAACATTTTATTTTGTTTTTTTGATTTTTCGGCCAAATAAAAATAATACCTGATAATTTCCATACATGTCGGAAGATTTACTCCAGTAAATTCTTCTGCTTCCCCAAATGTAATTTGATCATGCGAGCGCATATGATTCAAATTACTGGCACTTGCGCCTGAATTTAAATAAGAATTCGCCATTGATACTTCACGTCTAACTGGAGAACTGAATGAAAATTTATGCGGATTTTTCACATTAATATATTCTTTTCGAAACTTCGAGAATTATTATAAAAAATACTAGCGCACTCTGATGGAAATAAATAACAACAAAAAACCCGATTTAAAAACCCCCGCACAAACTCTTAATAAAAATAAAACTCACAATTTGAATTATTCACATGCCTAAATTGAAACATTTACTTATTAAAAACAGTATTTTATTGAAAATTTCGCTGGCTAAAAAGTTACTTGCGATATATGGTTTTGCAGTCAAAATTTATTTAAATAACACATATATTTCATATAAAAAGGTGCCCATATCGCTTAATTTTACTTCTATAATGAATTGGCCCTCCCTATCCATTGGTTTCTTAGAAAACTGTGGTTAAATATACGGGTTTTACTAAGAAATATCAATAGAGTGGGCCAATTTTTTGCATATAGAGGCACCTCGCTAATTTAACTTTTTACATCATTTGAAACCATATTGGAAAAAAGCATAATCCGCAAATGAATTTAAAGCCGGCGAAAAATTTAAAAACATTTTTTAATTTAAAGAAAAAATTGAAAAATCTCATAAAAATTATATTATGACATATATCGAGTTCTACATCATTTTATTCGTAATTTTATTCTGCATCTTTCGTACGAATAAAGTTCTTTCGTATCTTTTACCGTTTCGGAGAAAAATCGGTAAAAACTATTTGAAACTTGCATTAAAAAATCGGAAATTTACAAAAAAAAAAAGAAAATATAATATAACTACAAATAAATTTGTTTTATATTCATTGAGATCTATAAAAATCAATAAATACATATTTCAATACAAAAGTTAAAAAAAAAACAAAAAACACCTGAAAACTCAATAATTCACTATAATTCATATTGCCCATATATATAAAACTGTTTGAAAATCTAAAAAAAATTTCGAAAAGAAATTGTCTATCATAAGGGTTCGCAGTTCGAAAATTTCCCAGACTTATGTCTTGACGATTCACACCGTAACCCGGAGCGACGCTTCGCCGCAGGTCAAATGCACATCGCTTGGGACTCAGTCTAATACTTACGGTGTGGGCAAGCGCCTACTATAGGGGTATAAATCATGTCGAATGCGATGCGATCAACTTTTGGCAAAAGTTCGCTGTGTTGTTCAGGCAGGTTCGAATATTATTCCCCGTGTATTTTATACATTATATTCGATACTTTTAGTCTGTCAACTATATAGCGGCGTTATTAACTTCCCGAAGGAGAAGTTTATGTTTTCATAAAAAAATTCGAATTGCTAATTTTATGTTCTCTCGATGTTTCAAGCCATTCTAAATCGAATGAGACCAAATTTGGAAAAAGTATGTGTGTGTGTGTGTATGTGTGTGTGCGTGTATGTGAACAGATTTTTTGCCTTTATCCTTTTCTCAAAAACGGCTGGAGCGATTTCAAAAATTTAAAAGCCATTCGATGTATCTCGATGAGGACTATTGTTTGTCAGTTTTGTGCGACGATCAGCCAAGCTGTTTCTTTATAAATTATAGAAAACTGGAAAATTTTTCGTCTACGTTTTAGCCCGCAATTCTGAATCGATTTTGAAAATTTAAAAACCGTTCGAAAGATATTGATTGGGAATAGTGCTGATTAGTTTTTGGTAGAGATCGGCCGGGCCGTTTTCTTGTAATAAAGTTTTTTTTTAAAAAATTTCGACGATTTTTATGATTATTTTTTTGACAGTACATACCATAGTCTTCCTGATCATACTAAAATTTTACGACCCTACAACAACTGGTTCAGCTTTAAAAATTCATCAAAGTTTGCAAAAATTGGTATCGTTTTGCAATTTGAAAAAAAAAGTGTTAAACTTTTCGTCCACATTTAAGCTCATCTTACCGAACCGATTTTAAAAAATCAAAAACTGTTCGAAAGATATTAGTTGGGAATGGTACTGATTAATTTTAGGTGAAAATCTATCGAGCCGTTTTCTTGTAACTGTTAAGAAACAAATTTAAACCGATTTTTATGGATTTCTTTTTAGCGATATATAACCATGGTCTTATAGAACTTACTGAAATTACGGCCTTACGACAAATAGTTTGATTCTAAAAATTCGTCAAACTTTGCTAAAATTATTATCGTTTTTTTAAAGTAGTATTGATAAAGTATATTATTTACACATTTTTTTTTGATTAAGTCGATTACACATATCGGGAAGTTTGTGTAACTTGCCTCAAGGCTAAATACCAAACCAACTAGTTTTTAATAATGTCGTAGACCGTTTTTGGAATTATATACGCCGTATATGTTCGAATGTCGGTTTACGGCCGGGTTCTGGACCTTATTTATAAGTGTTCAACCATACTGTACAGCACATGCGCGGGCATGTGTCGTTGACGCAAAGACTCTTATGCGGAAAATAAAATATACAAATGCAATGAACTCAATACTCTCCGAGCGAGAATAAAAGTGAGTTATAACAATGAATTTGCCCCGAAGTGTCAATGTAATGAAGGGTAAAGAGACTAAATAAACTGGGTCGCGGACCGCTAATGTTATGTACGGATCGCCGTTTCGACGGTTGTTAAAGGTCTAGCCTCTGTGTAAGCGCAGAATTTATAAAAGTTGCCGGGTTTAGACCGTCGTGAGACAGGTTAGTTTTACCCTACTGATGAATTGTCGTTGCGCTTGGTGTATTATTTAGTGTTCACAGAACAACAATTTCTAACATTTTTTATGAAATATTACAACAGCTTGCAGGTGCGACAGGAAATTTAATATTTTGGCCAGATGTTGATTCTGTACAAGAAACTATGCCTGATTGTTTTTTACCAGATTATAAAAACACTCGGGTAATAATTGATTGTACAGAATTTCATATAGAAATTGCTTCAAGTGTCGACAACCGTATTTTCACTTACTCTCAATATAAAAAGAACTTTACGGCAAAAGTTCTTATTGGTATAACTCCTGGAGGTTTTATATCCTTGAGATCCGATGTAGCTGGAGGACAGAAATCAGATTCTCAGCTTACAATAGAGTCAGGATTGTTGGATTTGTTGGAAGATGGTGACTTGGTTTTAGCGGATAAAGGTTTTCCAGCTATTAAAACAGTGTTAGATGCAAATGGAAAAAAAGTGAAAATGGTCATGCCGCCTTTTCTGGAGAAAAACAATGAATTTACCAGTGAAGAAACTCAACATACATATAATATTGCAAGAGTCAGAATTCACATTGAAAGAATTATGCAGCGGTTAAAAACCCATCACGTCCTGAATAAAATTCCACAGCACTTGCTCCATTGTATCGACGACATTATGCACATATGTTGTGTATTGGTGAATTTACAGCCTCCAATAATTTCTGACAAAGCAGATGCTGAAAAATAACAATAATATTGTTTTAATATTGATAACCACTCTTGTACAAATACAAATTCATACTTGTATGAAATTATATGATTGTGCGAACAAAGCTGGCAAATATTGCTCAAAATAGAATTTCTCGCTCTTCAAAATAACACTTTTCAAAAACTCTTCGTCTCTGTGAACTTCTATTAAACAGCAACCATCTTCAATTGGCGAAAAAACAAAAATATCACAAACACTCATACCACTGACGTACATTTGTACTTGAAGTTGGGTGTAATAAATGTGAGACTTTTTGAGCTCCAAGTTATTATGGACAAATTCCAAATACTTAACGTTGCTAACTTGAGTAGATCAATTGACGACTGTTTTTTTTTCACAAGAACTTGGACATTTGAATTCTACAATTTTAAAAATGCAACCGTCATCAATGACTACTCCGTCAAGACTTGCACAAAGCCAAGGCTGGTGTTTACTAACAATAACACCAACCCGTTTAACAATACACTTGTGAATTTGTTCATATTTTTCTTTAGCACAAGTTTCCATGTTTATACCATATTTTGTAGAGCTGCTGTCAATTTTGGATAGATGTAGCATGTCTGATACCAACTTTTCGACAGGTTTCCTACTTAGAACTTTTATATTGTGTACATTACAACTTGCAGAAATTCTTAGGCGCCTGGCTTGAAACCAATTGTTACAGGAAGAGTGCCTAACAGTTTCAGAAGCCAATTGAATCATTTTATCATCTGATAATTGAACATTCTTAACAAAAAACTCCCAGAGAATCGGATCCAAATTATGTTCAGTTTGATAAATAAAAAATTTCTCGCTAAAATTTAAAAACTTTTCTACACATGCAGCACAATCTTCGTTTTCTAAATTCATTTCTACTTGCGAGTACAGAGAGTTAACCACATTTCTTACCGTATGTTCATTATTTTTTTTCAACTGTGCTTGCATAATTTGTTTTAAAGGTGAATTGACTTTCAGCTCATTAATTGAAACATTTTGGGGCTCATGTAATTGAGTGTATTTGTGCGGCATATTTTTTTAAAATATGCTCCGTTAGAATATTTAAGCTTAGCATATTTACGAGCGCCCGGCTTACCCCACTGCTGCTCGTGACTCGTTTTTGAAATACTCCCTTCGCTGTTAATAAAATAAATTAATGCTGCAACGTGTTTACACTTGGCACTCTTATTATATACACAATCACAGTTGACATTTGTTACCAAACGTTCAGAGTTTATGTAAAATTAAAATAAAACAATATAATAATTATATAATAATTAGAAATAATCATAATATTATAATTAAACTAGTTGGTTTGGTATTTAGCCTTGAGGCAAGTTACATGAACTTCCCGATATGTGTAAATAATCGACTTAATCAATAAAAAATAAATTCATTTATGATTGATTAGAAGTTTTCCGAGTGGATTTATTACACATAATTGAAAACGAACGAACACGTTGACTCGAATTTTCTGAAAGCAAATTTTCACCAATCAATAATTTTTATAATTGAACCAGTTTCCGTAGGACTTTAATGGTTTAGTATGTTCATCAAGACGAAGTACTCTATCGTAATACCAAGTAAATCGTGTAATTTTGACTTTAACAAACGTCAAAAAACTACCTATTTTCTCAAACTTTGATTAATTTTTAAAATTAAACTACTTGTCATAAGGCCGTGATATTTCAGTAAGTTTAATAAGACCATGATATATATCACCAAAAAAAGTTCCATAAAAATCCGTATGAATTTTTTTTTCAACAGTTAATTACAAGAAAACGGCTCGGTAGATTTTCACCTAAAACTAATCAGTATCATTCTTAGCTAATATCTTTCGAAGAGTTTTTGATTTTTTAAAATCGATTCGGTAGTTTGAGCTTAAATGTGGAAGAAATGTTTAACACTTTTTTTTCAAATTACAAAGAAACGGCTTGGCAGATCGTCTCACAAAACTGACAAATTATAGTTCTCATTGAGATACATCAAATGGCTTTTAAATTTATGAAATCGGTTCAGGCGTTTTTGAGAAAACGTCGATCAAAAGTTTAATTTTGTCAAATGCCAAAAAAACGATACCAATTTTTGCAAACTTTGGCGAATTTTCAAAGTTAGACCAATTGTCGTGGAGCCGTAATATTTTAGTATGATCTAGAAGACTATGGTATCTATCGTCAAAAAAATAATAATAAAAATCGTCGAAAAAAATTTTTTTAACACTTTATTACAAGAAAACGGCCCGGCCGATCACTACCAACAACTCATCAGCACGATTCCCAATCAATATCTTTCGAACGGTTTTTGAATTTTCAAGATCGATTCAGAACTGCGGGCTAAAACGTGGACGAAAAATTTTTCACTTTTCTGCTATTTACAAAGAAACGGCTTGGCTGATCGAGGCGCAAAATTGATAAACAATAGTCCTCATCGAGATACATCGAATGGCTTTTAAATTTTTGAAATCGGTCCAGCCATTTTTGAGAAAACGTCGATTTACGGCAAATTTTCCAAATTTGATCTCATTCGATTCAAAATGGCTTGAAACGTCGAGAAAACATAAAATTAGCGAATCGGATTTTTTTACGAAAACATAAACTTCTCCTTCGGGAAGTTAATAATTATATAATATAAGAAATGAATTATCTAAAGGTGCATTACGTCTACAGATGTAGCATGGACTGATGTTTGTCGAATAACTCGAGATGTTATTAAAAAACTTCCAAAGTTTTGTCGATGTTCCTCGACTTCTCTCACATGTCCAGCATCAAGTTTTTTACCTTTGGTCATTGTTTCCGGCTGGAACTTTATTTGATGGGTAATGGACTCAAATCCTGTCTTTATAATAATGTCCATGTCCAAATAATAAAAAAAACTAGTAAACAAAAATATTATTTACTTATTCTATTGAAAAAATATTTTTATCATTGTTATAATTTATTTATTAGGACTATTCCGAGATTTTGACATAATTTTTAAGCAACTTAACCTTATAAATTTTTACGTCATTTCTTTATTCATTTTATCATACTTACCTGTGTTTTAAGTACGTTCAAGTAAATTTAAAAATTACATTACCTATTCAACTTTCTCTTTCTTGTTCTAACTTATTAATAATATTTCTTCAATAACTTTTTTCTTTAAAAACGTCTAAAAACACATGTAAAGCACGCACTGAAAGCCTCAGTTAGTTCACACGTGGTGCGCATTTAGTCTGGCGCCACGTTTACGTATATACAAGATATATAAGATATATACATAAGAATGTGCGAAATGTAAAATCTCCACGATGATTGTTTGAGAAAATGAAAGTCCTGTTATATTCACGTTAAATTCATTCAATACTATTTTACAAATACGTCCTTCTTCTTTGACTGTTATTACTAGACTGAATATTCATCCCAATTTCAGGCCCGACGGAATACATTTTATTGACTTATTTTATAACCTAATTATATTAGCCGTCGAACCTGGGCAGGATCGTTCCCTATTTATGTGATTAACAAAATTTCTCCTGACCGTTACATGAAATAATATTTTATAATTTTACGGCGACGGTTACACCAGATGTTTTAGTTTTAAAAAATCATCCATCTTCCGCCGTCTTAGTTATTCACTTATAATTAAGACCAGTAATCAATATAAGAAGTTTAAGCAATGGTATGTATATGTAGATACTAATTATAATTACAAAGAAATTGTATATATGATATAATTTTTAACACAGTTAACTGTTGACTCAAAAATATTTCCTGACATGAATATTTAACACATAATAACGATTTACATGACGTCGATGTTGATATGCTATTTGAGTGGACTGTAATTTTTATAATCGGCGAAGTGTGAAATCTCCACGATGATTGTTTGAGAAAATGAAAGTCCTGTTATGCTCACGTTAAATTTATTTAATACTATTTTACAAATATGTCCTTCTTCTTTGTCTGTTAATACTAGACTGAATATTTATCCCAATTTCAGGCCCGACGGAATACATTTTATTGACTTATTTTATAAGCTAATTATATGAGCCGTCAAACCTGGGCAGGATCGTTCCCTATTTACGGGATTAACAAAATTTCTCCTGACCGTAATATGAAATAATATTTTATAATTTTACGGCGACGGTTACACCAGATGTTTTAGTTTTAAAAAATCATCCATCCTCCGCCGCCTTAATTATTCACTTATAATTAGGATCAGTGATCAATATAAGAAATTTAAGCAATGTTATGTATATGTAGATACTAATTATAATTACAAAGAAATGGTATATATGATATAATTTTCAACACAGTTAACCCAAAAATATTTCCTGACATGAATATTTAACACATAATTAGTTAAAAAAAAAATTTATGAAGTTACATATTAATAATATACATTCTAGTAAATAATGAAATGAATGATTTATCAAAATTCTTTGGAAAATTAGTTACTAAATTCAAAAAATTAATTTCATTATTAACCATTATTCTTAATACCAATTTTAAAATTATTCTACTGCAAAAATAATATAAAGCAGAATATAATATTAATTCTGTGGAAATCAATTCTAGTTCACAACTTTTACTGGTGAAATGCACAACTTTAGTAATGGACCTTACAAATGTATCATTTTTTATATTTATAGAAGCTATTATTACACGTGCAATGCTTTCCAAAAATGCGGTAAGCGCTTTATATATCAAAAAATGCCCGAGCCTCAAAAACATAAGTTTATCCATACCATTGAAAATGCTGATTGGTCTTCAATCAATTATTATAGATTCTATCCGTACTACTAATTTATAACCGTAGGTGGCGTGAGAAATTAAATCGGCGGTTGTCTGTACTTGCCATATTTCAGGTATTACATGATTTCCGTTATATTTTCTACAGACTGCATTAATAGGCTGGGTTGGTGTAATAATCCAGCGTAAAGTATCGCTGAACTCAATCAAATATTGAGATTTATCTATTTTCAAATTTAAGAACTTAATAATAATTTTATATAATTTTATGAG